GGGAGGGGAGGAGGAGTGAAGGGCAAGAGGGATGGGGGAGGGTGGAGGGGTGTGGGGGGAGGGTGCTGGAGTGCAGCGGTGGAGGGGTGGAGGGGTGGAGGGGGGGCGGAGGGGCGGGGGGGCGGGGGTGGGGGGGTGGAGGGGTGGGGGGGTGGAGGGGTGGAGGGGTAGGGGAGCATGCGGGGGTAAGCAGTACGAAGATCACCTGCTCCCCTTCCCAATGGCACTGGACAAGGCTTGTGGAGAGTCAGGGGCCTGCGCTGGAAACTTCTGTGGGGTCTCCAGCCAGGGTGTGAGTGGGGGGCCTTTCCTGCCACCTTCCAAGACCACCTTCCTGGGCAGCCCAGGCAGGTTCACCCTGGGTGCCTGAAAGAGCGCCCCAAATCCCTGCCTGCTGTCAGCAGGGGGAGCACAGGGAGAGGAGCAGGCAGGGGCCACCCCACCCCCAGCCCCAACCCCTGCAGGCCCCAGGGTCTGGCCCACCGGGAGGTGCCAGGGGCAAAGGTGAGTCAAGGGCCCATTTCTGTAAATGAAGGACGTTCACAGCACCAAACACCGCAGCCAAGGGCTGCCTGGTAAGCCCAGCCAGGGTCACCCCGCCAGGGTCACCCGAGGCCGAGGCGTCTGCTTGGGGTCGACGGAGGAGGCTGGGGCATCCGTCAGGAAGCTGAAGGAAAGGCGGTCTCTGCCACAGTGCTGCCACCTTGGGGCCCACCCAGGGAGTGCCAAGGGGCACCTCCGTGACCCAGGTGGCCTCCCAGCCATCCCACACTTCTGGATCCCGGAAGAGATCTTCTGGAGGCCCCGCTCCCCACCCCACCGCCTGGGCCCAGAGAACATCCCACCTGGGGGCCAGGTGAGGAGCACTTGCGGCAGCGCCTGCCTCCCCCTCGGTCTGCCCCCACCCATCCTGCAGCCCGGCTGGGATTGGGGGGGGCCGGCTAGAAACTGAGGAAACTGAGTCCATCCCGCTGGACTCGGCTGGGGGCAGGGGGCTCGGCCACGCGGTGGAGCCCAGGGACGGCGAGCTGGGCGTCGCGTGGAAGCCGGAGCCTGGCGCCGCGCCGCGAGTCCGGTGCGGAGACAGGGCCCTGCGGCCGAGCGAGCGCGGGCGGGGGCCAGGCTCTCCGACTCGTCCGCAGGGACCCAAACAGACGCCAGGCCAGCCTCGGTGGGAGCCGGGTTGGCGACGAGGGAGGGGTGGGGGTCCGGGAATCCCCCGAACAGATCTGGGGGCCTCTCTGCGTCCCAGCTGGCCGGGCGCCCCAGCGAGCGCCGGCCGGTTCCCGCCGCCCGCTGCAGCTGGGACTGGGCGCCGGGCGCCCCGCGCGCCCCGCGCGCCCGGGTCCCTTTCCCGCCGGGCCCGGCGAGCCGGCCTGCCCGGGTCACGTGGCGCCGGGCCGCAGCCCCAGCGCTGACCCCGCGGGAAGGGAGGGGAGGGGAGGGAAGAGGGGAGGGGACAGGACCGGAGGGGAAAGGAGGGAGGGGCGGCGGGGCGGGCCGAGCGGGGCGGCGGGGCGCCCGGGATTCCCTGCGGGGCCGCGCGGCCCGGGCTCCCAGTCTGCGGCCCGCCTGTCGCCCGCCGGCCCAGACCACCGCGCCCTCCGCTCCTCGCCCCCAGCCCGTGAGCGCCCCAGCGGGCCCGGCGCCCCTCCCAGCGCGGCGCCCCCCCGACCTTCCCGCGCCCGGCCCCTGTCGGGCGCACCCCGGGAAGCTCCGAGGCCGGGCGGTGGAGGAGCTGAGCTGGGCGGTCTCGCTGCGCCGGCCGCTCGCGGCCACCCGCGCCCCGCCGTGCTGACCCCGCCGCCCTGCGGAGCGAGGGCGCGGAGGGGTGCGCAGCGGCCGGGGACTCGACGGCCGTCCTCTTCCCTGCAGGTCCGGGCCGCGTCGGGGAAGATGTACCAGAGCCTGGCGCTGGCCCCGAGCCCCGGCCAGGCCGCCTACGCCGACTCGGGCGCCTTTCTGCGCGCGCCAGGCGCCGGCTCCCCGGTGTTCGTGCCGCCCGCGCGCGTCCCCGCCATGCTGCCCTACCTGCCGGCGTGCGAGCCGGGCCCCCAGGCCCCCGGGCTGGGCGCGCACCCCGGCTGGGCGCAGGCGGCCGCAGACTCCTCAGCCTTCGGCTCGGGCAGCTCGCACCCGCCGGCCGCCCAGCCGCCCGGGGCCACCGCCTGCCCCTTTCGGCACAGCCCCCCGGGACCAGGCAGCGGGGGCGCGGGGACTCGGGAGGGTGGCGCCTACCAGGGCGCGCTGCTGGCGCGAGAGCAGTACCCGGCCCCGCTGGGGCGGCCGGTGGGCGCGACCTACCCCGCCGCGTACCCCGCCTACGTGAGCGCCGAGGTGGCCCCGACCTGGACCACCGGACCCTTCGAAGGCAGCGTCCTGCACGGCCTCCAGGGCCGCAGAGCCACCTTCGGTGAGTGTGACCCTGGGGTGCTGGGTGCTGGACGTACGGGGAGCAGTCCCGCACCCTGCCAAGGCCCCTCGCCAGGCCCAGAACTGCGGGGACAGTAAACTCGGGCAGAATACGACGTCAGCCACAATGTCACCCACCCTGAGACGAAAACAACCGTCCTGGGCTCTTACACACCAGTAAGAAAGTTCTTCCATCTTCCATTCATCTGAACCCAACCTTCTGGGTGGTGCCAGCTGAACCCACCTCATAGACTATTATGAGAAGTCTCTAAGCGGTTTTAAAAATTCAGAATACTGGGTTATTTCAGTAAGCCGCCCGCTCCTCTCTGTTCTGGAATGCTTACATATTCTAATCTGAGACCTGGCTTCAATTGCCCCCCCCCCGGGGGGGGTGTAAAGTTGGATAATCGGATTCCAGGCCCCTAAGGCAGAGATTTGCTCCACCCGGTTTTGGAGGAGCCGAGCCGCCGCCACCCACACTTTCTCACCACTGCTGCCTGCCCACGTCTGTGTTTGGCGCAGGCGGGAAGCCCCTCGGCTGCCCTGCCCGCCGGTGCGGCCTCGCAGGCCCACCCTTAGCTGCCCTGGGTCCCCGCTTGCTCCGAGGCGCAGGAAGCGGGTCACCTCGCCGGCGCCCCCGCCCCCCGCAGGACTGATCCCCACCCTGTCCCCACAGGGCGCCCGGGCCGGGGAGGGAGCCGGGGACCTCTGCCTTGTGCGCTGCCGGCCCAGCAGCGGTCTCACCACAGCGGAGCCCACAGGAAAGGCAGGCTCTGTGGGCTCTGCGGGTGACCCCATCCACTCAGCCCCCCCCCCCCAACGCCCCTTGCGAACATCCCATTTTGCAGAGGCCAAGGCCCTGGGGCCACCTCCCTCCGCCAGTGCAGAGGATCCCACCTCCCCAGGGGATCAAAATGATACCTCGGTTCTAAGGGGAACAATTCCGTTGCCCCCTGGGGGGGGTCTGACTTATTTATCTTCCCTCACCCCACAAGGCAACCCCAACCAGCTTGTCTTCTAACCTGGCATAAACTTTATGGTTTGTAAAGTTAAGGTTTAAAGTAAAATTAGATAAAATAAAGGTTCAGATAAAACGAAAGCAAAGTCCGCGTACACAGAAAGGGAAAACACAGCCGATGCAGGGCCCCGGGGAGCGGCCGCGCCTCGGCCCACGACCGGCTGCCTGTCCCTGCAGCGCCAGACGTCCTGGAGGAGCTCCCCAGCGAGGGTCGCGAGTGTGTCAACTGTGGGGCCCTGTCCACACCGCTGTGGCGCCGCGACGGCACCGGCCACTACCTGTGCAACGCCTGCGGCCTCTACCACAAGATGAACGGAGTCAACCGGCCGCTCGTGCGCCCACAGAAGCGCCTGGTGAGTGCCGCGCGCAGGGGCCCAGCTGGTGTCCCGCGGGAGCCTGGGTGCCGAGGCCCAGGACCACCACGGGCCCTGCCCCCGTGTGCGCGCTGGGCTAGGCTGCCCCAGCTCCCCGGGCCTCCCGGTGACTCGGCCCGGAAGTGGGGTTTGGAGAAAGGTGGTTGCTTTGCGGCCGGACGTTGAGACCCGACGCAGGAGGGGCCCCTGGGTGCCTGCACTTGGGGAGCACGTTCTCCCCGAGGCCGGGCCTGTGGTGGTTCCATGTGCGAAGCTTGTCTGCACTTCTGGTGTTTCCTGGTGTGCGGCTGCGCGCAGGGCGGGGCGCAGAGGGTCCGGAGGCCGCGTGAGGGGCCCCGGCACTTACTGTCCCCCGTCTCCCGGGCTCGCTTGGATGCTTGAGGCGTCCTGCGCCTCTGTCTGCAGCCCAAGTCAGTGAGGCCGTGGAGGCTCCTGGTCCGAGGTCCGGGCCTGGCTGTTTCTTGGATGCCGAGCCTTTGGTCGAATGCTGGTCTCAGCCCTGTCGTGGCCGCTCAGCCGGTTCCCGCGCGTCGGAGGCGGGTGGGGGGCCTGTCCCCGGCGGCCGTGGTCGCCGGCCTGGACTGCCTGGTGCTCAGCAGCGGAGGCCTTCGCTGGAAACCCAAACCCGGGCTGTGGAGGCCCCAGACCAGGGAGGCAGGAGGCAGCACCGACCCAGGCGGTTTGGGGGAAGCCACTGTTTTTCTCTCCCTGTTCCAGCCTGGAGTTTGGGGCTCTGCGGCCCCCCAGCTCCCCTGCGCCCAAGGAGGCGGTACCTCAGAATCTATATCACTCGCTCGCTTATATTCCTGCCCTGTGATCATGCTCCACCCCCCCCCACATGTACAGCACTGGCATGGCATCTGGTGTGGCCCTCACGGATGGGGAAACTGAGGCTAAAGCAGAGGTGTCCTGGGGGACCGCCCCCCCCAACTCCCAAGGAGCAGGCCGGCCTCTCCCTCTGCTCCGTCCCTTCTCCCCCGGGTGGGAGGGGGGCGGGGACACACTGGTAAACAGCAAGAGAAGGTTGGGGACCTCCCTGCCTTTGCCCCCCACCCTCCCAGGGCTCACCACCCAGCAGAAAGTTCCTGACGTGGGGGTCAGCAGGCACAGGCCACCCTCGAGGCATGGAGGCACTCATGAGGCCCCCAGGGCTCAGAGCCGCCCAGAGGGTAGTGATGCCCCTGGCAGCCCGCAGAAGCGCCTGGGTTCTGAGGCCTGTCTGCCCGTGTGCTCCCCGTGAACCCGCCGACCCCACCTCGGGTCTTCTGGCCCCTGCACACACGGCCCCCCACTGTGTTGTGAAGATTACTTTAGGTGGGGCACTTGGACAGGCCTTGGCCAGCTCAGGGCTGGGGAGGCCTCTGGGGCCTGGTGTGGGGCACAAGGAATAATTTGCTTCAGTGGCACTTTGTGGGGTGAAGAATCCCTTTCTCCTACCCCCAAGGCGGCCGGGCTCAGAGGGTGGGTGCCTGGTCACCTCCTCGGGCAGGCATGAGCAGATGGGAGTGTGAGGCGGCCCAGGAAGGGCTTGCTGGTCAGGGGGTGCTTCTCGAGGGCCCCGCTCCTGCGTCTCCTCCGAGCCGGCTCCCCAGGGTTGGCTCTAACTCGTTTCTGGGCTCTTGCCTGGCCCTCAGGGAGGGAGGCCCCACTGGAGGGGCCCGGCTGTGTGGAAACTCGGAGATTCCCAGTGCTGGGACCAGAGCCCGGTCCCCAGAGCAGCCGTGGCAGGGCCGGGCCAGTCACTGCAGACTCGCCCCTGCTCGGTGCCTCACTCTCCCTCCTGTGTGGCCAGAACCGACGCCCCCGGAGAGAATTGTCCTAACCTTCTTTTAAATCATTACAAAAGTTCTAGAAGCTTGCCACCAACAGCACAGGAATGTGACAGTAACCAGCGTGCGGCCCCCCTGCCCCCCCCCGGCCCCTACAGGAGTTTGTATCTTTTCTGCCCTTTGCATCCTGAGCGCATCCTTAGTGACGCTCGAACCTCTTCCCTGTGGCCTCTGTCAGTGTGGACTAGCGGGTGGGAGGGTTGAGGTGACTCTGTAGACCCCTGTGGGCCTGCTTGTGCGGCCACATGCTCGAGAGCCCGTGACCCCCCCCTCCCCGAACGTCAGAGCCAGGCGGCCAAGGCCAGAGGGCGAGGGTGTCTGCTCCAGGAAGGGGCCAGTGCTGAGGGGGCCCCCACATCCTTCGACCTTGACTGAGGACCCCAGGTTGTCCTTCCTGCGTGGCCCCTGCCTGTCCTCTGGCACGCCGGCCCCCCGCAGGCTCATCCCCGGCATCGTTCGCCCTTGGTCAGCAAGGAACACACTTTATCAGGTTAAGTGTCCTTTTCTGAGAGTGAGATGAGAGGACCCATTTAAAGTCGGGCCACCGCTCCACCCGCTGTACCACTTTTTGCAAGTTTCGCCCATTACTTACTTTCAAAAGTGTTTTTTCCTGGACACGCTGGCCTCACCCCTCCCTGCCCAGCAGCCCTCCCGGCCGCACTGGCCTCACCCCTCCCTGCCGCCCTGGCTCCGCCCCAGCTCCCTGATTTCTTTGCTTGAATGAGACAGACGTGTGCGGAGCCTGGAGCTGCCGCAGCCAGCAGCCTTTGAAGTTTAACTTCTTTTGAAAAGAACAGACCGAAAAGGAAAAACAAAATGCAGCCAGCGGAGGCCCGGCAGCGAGGAGGGACGCAGGCTCCGGGTGTCTGCCGGGGTCGGGACGGCACCGGGGACGGGTCCCCGCAGAGCGCTCGGCTGAGGGAGGCGGTTCTGTCCACCCGGCCCCTCGGCGGCTCTGAGCTTCGGTGCCCCTGATGAGGGGAGAGGAAAATATAAATAAGCAAACGTTTTTAATTTTTTTCCAGGTCCTTTTTTCCCCTTTTTTCTTAATTTTAATTTATGTTCACTAAGAAAATATTCACTCCTTAATCCAGGTTCCAGATTTTTCCTTTGTGCTCCTAGGATAGATTGCTCCTGAACTTCCTGGGCTGTTTTCTACACACACACGCACACGCGCACACGCACACACGTGCACCCACACACGGCATCGAGTTCCACCTGTGCAGTTGTTTCCACACTTGTAGGGGGGCACACGTGGGGGGCACACGTGAGGGGGCAGCTGCAGCGCTGGCACCCAAGCCTCCTCTTCTTGCAAGACGCACAGGCGACTGTGGGGGCGCTCGTGGGAGGTGCGGGCGAGCCCGGGCGTGTACACGTGAGCGCTGCTGAAGACCCGCGCCGGCGGTCAATGCCTGGCATTGGCACCTTTTTTGCCCCAGTGGGACTGTTTCCTTTTCTTTTGGTGGGGGGGCGGGGGGGAGAGTGCAAGTGGGGGAGGGGCAGAGAGGGGTACAGAGGATCCGAAGCAGGCTTCAAGCTGACAGGCTGACAGCAGTGAGCCTGATGTGGGGCTTGAACTCACGAACTGTGAGATCATGACCTGAGCTGAAATCAGGCGCTCAACCGGCTGAGCCCCCCAGGCGCCCCGAAGGCGGGAGTGTTTCTACAGGAGGATCCAGTACGAGGGGCATGACGGCCCAAGGAGAGCGCAGCCGACTCCTGCCTTTCAGTGACGGCGGGAAGGCCGCATGAGCTGCAGGGGAGCAGCTGGACGGGAGAGCGAAGGCACGGGAGGCGGGGACCTCGTGCAGCCCGAAGGGGTAGTTCAGGGTCACCAGATAACACACAAGACACTCCGTCAAATGTGAATTTCACATAAACAGCGACTAGCATTTTAGTGTGAGTGTGTCCCAAATAGCGCGCGGAGGCCCTTCTGCACACGTCTGCTGCTTATCTGAAGTTCACATCTAACCGCTGTCCTGTTACATGTTTTTGCTAAGGAGGCAGCCTGGGCCGGGTCCGAAGCCCTACCCCCATGCCAGGAAGGTGGAGGGACTGTCGGGGCTTGGGACCCGGGGCCAGGGTGCGCAGCAGGGCGCCCCCTGTGCGCTTCACTCCTGGCACCGAGAGGCAGATGGAAGAGAGGGACGGGGCAGGGAACGGAAACTCAGATCGTGTCCAGTGAAAGCAGCTGCTTTCTAGACAGTCAGGATGTGGCCTCCGCCTCCCAGGGAGAGACTCGGGCGGGCCCTGGCTGGCTTGGGGTACAGCGCTCCGGTCTCAGAGCGTCCACCGTCCGGCAGGGGCTGTGGCCAGCCTGCACCCCCCTGGGCGGTGCAGCAGCCGCCCCCCCCCCCTGCTGACACCGGCCTCCCCCATCCACAGTCCTCATCCCGCCGGGCCGGCCTCTGCTGCACCAACTGCCACACAACCAACACCACGCTGTGGCGGCGCAATGCGGACGGCGAGCCGGTGTGCAATGCCTGTGGTCTGTACATGAAGCTGCATGGGGTGAGCAGACCCAGGAGGGGGGTGAGGACTGAGGGGTGCAGCGGGCCACGCTTGTGGGAGGGGCAAGTGGCGGGGTGAGGCACGGACACGGTGGGCCAGGGGCCGGGTGAGTGGGGCAGGGTGGGCGGAGCCGCGCAGGTGGACTGGGTGGGCGGGGCCCTGGGGAGGCAGGAGGCAGATCCGGGCTGAACGCGTTTACCGTGCGAGGCCCCCACTGACTGCGGGCACCAAGCCTGTGCTGTTGCTCTTGGGCCCTTTTCACAGATGGGCCTGCTGAGACTCAGCGTCGCTGCGGCAAGCCTGCAGCCATTCAACCTGGGACGGGGCTAGGTCCCCTGGTGTGGCCTCCTGGCCCCTACAGCCCTGGGGGTTCGGGCCTGGACTGGCTCTTACCGGCCTTGCCGGGAGGAAGGCCCCAAGCCCAGGCCCAGAAGCTCACCAGTCGCCTACCCCTGCCTGCCCTCCCAGGTGCCGCGGCCCCTGGCGATGAAGAAGGAAAACATCCAGACGCGGAAACGCAAGCCCAAGAACGTTGTGAAGACCAAGGGCTCTTCAGGTGTGAGGGGCCAGGGCCCACGGGGCGCCAGGGGGGCCCAGTCCCCAGCCCTCCTGCGGGCACGCATGTGCCCCGCGGAGTCGCTTTGAGTGCCGCAAGTTTCCGCCACCAGAGATTTGCATGTTTAGTTCAAGCATCATTGTCCCAAAGTACAAATACCCCTGACTCTGCCCCGGGACCCACCCAGGCTGGGGAGGGGCCGGGGGTGGGAGCCCACCAGCCGAGGGTCAGCACTGCAGATTGAGGGGGCCACACCCGGTCCCTCGACCCCTTCAGTGACCAGTGCGGCTGGTGTGCCCCACCTTCCAGGATGCAGCACAGGGAACCCCACAGCCTCCCCGCCCACTGTCCCGGACCCTGAGAGCTCCACAGCCACTCTGAAACCCAACTCCAGCCTGGCATCCCCTTCATGCCCGGGGTCCAGCGTCCCCTCCCAGGTAAGACAGTGATGCGGAACGGGGGTCGCAGAGCTGGCGCCTCTGCAGGGAACCCGGACTCCCTGAGCAGCTCAGACCCCCGTCAGCGCCCCCAAGGGCCTCTCCCAGGAAGGAGCTCAGGGTCGGGCACACCGCTGGCCGTGGGTACCAACAGGTGGCCTACGGCAGACCCCAGGCCGAACACCCTGTTTCTGTTACCCTGTCTGTCACACAGGGCCTCCCGGCCTCTTCCAGGGTCTCAGGAGGTCCCTCAAGGCAAACGCCCTGGTCGTGGGGGCTCCCTAACCCAAGCGAGGCCAACCGGCCATGCCTGCATTCCCATGCTTCCCCTGTTCTCTGCAGGCCTCTGCCCGGGTGGACGACCCCCTGGCTCCCAGCCACGTGGAGTTCAAGTTCGAGCCCGAGGACTTTGCCTTCCCCTCTGCAGCCCTGGGCCCCCAGGCCGGCCTGGGCGGGGCCCTGCGCCAGGAGGCCTGGTGTGCACTGGCCTTGGCCTAGGTGCTCGGGTACCCGTCGGACCCACCTCACTGCCTGCTAGGCTCCAGCACAGCAGAGGGAGACCACCAGGCCCACCCGCCGGGAGAGATGAGCCGGCGGGACCTCGAGGTGCTGGGCCTCCACGGCGGGGAGGTCTTCTGTACAGATGGCAGTCGGACCCCAGTAGGCCGATGAGGAGGCCTTGAACTCCCCTGCAGGCCGCAGGGGACTCCCCCAAATGCTGTGTGGCACTCTGCCTGGGCCACTGCAGCCAGGGCTGACCAGGGGTGCCCGTTGCCAGCAGCTCTCTCGCCCACCTGTGCCATCGCCGTATTGACATACAGCAGAAGTTGGAAAACACCCCACCTCCTACTGTAAAATCAGGATCACCAGTGAAATGGCCGAGGTCAGGCAGCCAACGTGAATGAGGGGACCCGCCGGACATGGGACCTCCTCGAGCCCGATCTGTCCCTTTTCTCACATGTGATGGGTAAAGACACAGCACAGAGGATTTTCCCTCCTGTGAGTGAAGGACCGCTAGGGACAGATGTGCAGGCTGTGCACTGTGCCAGGACGCCACCCCAAGGGCAAGCCATTCGCACCACAGTCGTCATCCACTTGTGTATTTATTGGGGTGGTTTCCCCAGAGGGAACAGTAAAGGCCCATCCTGAATGAATCTGTGTATCACGACTGAGAGTGAAGGACCTGGGGCCCCGTGCTGACCCACAGGCGCTGTCAGTGCTGGCGGAGGAGTGAGCACACACGCTGGCTTACCTCAGACCATCCCAGCGTGGCTTGTCCCCAGGGAACCCTTACTGACGCCCTTTGCCTACAGAAGCCCTCCCCTCCCAGGACGGGGGTACATTAGTTGGTCAAGCCGGCTACGGGAGCTGTGCCCGAGGGACCCGAATGCCTAGCAACAGCTGGTGTCGGGGAGGCCATAGGCATGCAGGGGAGGGCGCACGCCTGCCGCAGGGCGCGTCCTTTCTGCTCCGTTGATGCCTTTCGCCAGCAAACGTGGCGAGCCCGCAGGAGCAGCCACTGTGCCACGCTGGTCAAAGCCCGTCTTTTGTATTTGAAACCCGTGGTCGGTGGCGTCAGCTTCCAGAACGTGTGCGTTCATCGTGAGGCTATAGCCCAAGTTCAAGCAGCACAATTTACACGTGATGTTGTCTTGTCTTTTTTTTATAAGACAAATGGTGCCATGAGTAAAAGTATAAAATAAAGATGTTGGTTTTGCATTCCTTTTGCTGTCGCCTGTGGGATTTCCCAGCCTGGTCCTGCCCGCGAGGCGGGGTCCACCTCACTCGGGTCTGCTGGACACTTGTCTCTGTGTGTTGACCCGCTACCTCACTGGCCCAGAGTGCCTTCGAGGTCGACCACCCGCACGGGAGAGGGACGCTGGGCCCGCACGTCGAGAAGTCATCGCTGCGCGGTCGGGGGACTCAGGCCTGAGGCCCCGCCACGTGCTGCCGCTCTGGGCTGCGGTCAGGGCATAGGGGCCACGCACAGGTTTGGGGCGCTGGCAGCCCCCGTGTGCCCACGTAGGTCTGGTGCTTCTGACCGGGGTGCAGCCGGCAGGCCAGGCGCTGCCGCCTCTCACCGTGTGAGTGCCACACGTGAGTGTGCCACACGTGAGCGTGCCACGGAGCGGCACCTGCAGGCAGGCTGCCTGTGTGCGGACGGGCCAGCAGATGGGGCTCAGCCCGGACAGGACGCCCCTGTTCTGCAGCCATCGCGTCTCTGTGCTCACAAGCCCCAGGCTGCCCTTCTCAGGAGGCCACTCACGAGTGAGCTGGTGAGGCAGAGAGGTGAGGAGCCGCCCAGCTGGCCAGGGCAGTGCCCCTTCCCACCTCCCCCCGCCCCGGACCACGTGCGGGGTCCTGAGCCAGAGACCCTGACCGTTATTTTGCAAGAACCAAGTGGCAACACCATGCTCGACCTTCTCAGCCCCAGGCAGCTGTGCGGAGGGCAATGTCCACCCTCCGGGGCCGCTGAGGGGCGGGGGCGCCCCGGCTCCGGGTGAGGGAACAGGCCCCGGAGGGCAGGAGGCGTGGGAGGCCGCAGAGCGCCCTCGAGGACCCCCTCTGGGCTCGCGCTGTGCTCCACCCTGTGCAGTACGGTTGGTGGCCCTTCCCCCTGCGAGGGGGCTGCTGCGGGCCCCCCCTTCTCTGAAGAAGGAGACAAGGGCTCGGAGCACAAGGCACCCGGCCACTGCGGGACCCACACGGGGGCCTGGGCTTGGAGGGGACAGCACGGCGTCCTCACCCAGCATGCTACCGCTTGGGAGCCCAGTGGCTTTCGTCGGAGCCTCAGTTTCCCCATCTGTAGGTCGAGGAGGGTGCCTGTGGCCAGGTGATCCACACACGTGTGTGGCTGGTCCAGGCCTGGAGGTCCCCGAATCGGGGCCAGTGTTCTACCCTCTCCAACCCAAGGAGGCTTCCTGGAGGTGTTCGCCGTAGGAAAGGTAGGCCCTCACGGAGAGGAGGAGGGGCTGGATGCCCCCGCCCCCGGCGCCCTGCCCACGAACAGGGCTCCTCCACAGGAAGAGGGGTTGACAACGAGGGAAGGAAGAAACAATCTCTTCTGTGTCTGTCATTGTTAAATGTGTCGTGCCGGGATGAGGAGGCTGAGCACCCTACCCCTGGGCATGGGTGTTGCTGCTAATTTGAGCCTTTCCCCCCAGTGCCCCTCCAGGGCCGGAAGCTGTCGGACCCGGAGCCTTAATATAGCCACCAGCACCCCCTTCCCGGGGCACTTCCTCCTGCCAGTCCCCTTCGGCTCCGCCTGGCTGGCCAGAAACCACCGGATGGGCCGGGAGGCCGGCGGGCGTGGGCGGCCCGGCCGCTTATCGGAGCCACAGGACAGAAAGAAGGGCCGCTCCGTCCGCACTGCCTGGCCGCGCGCGCCACTCCCGTCACCTGCCCCTGCAGCTGTCCCTGCACTGGGCTGAGCCCCCCCGGGGTCCGTCCTGGGCGCCTCGAGGCCGGCGGAGCTGAGGACACAGAGGAAGGGAGACACCCAGAGTCTCTTCAGCTGGGGTCCCCCCCACCCACTTAGAGCCCTAGGGTCGCCCCAGGGACAGGGTTGCAGGGCTCCTCAGAGGGGACCGCGCCCATCCTCTGGGATGGACCCAGGTCGGTGACACCCCGCGGCGGCTGCTCCCCGGCTTCTCTGAGCGCTGCTGCATTTAGCCAAGACCGCGTCCCGCGCACACGCCGGGGGCCCATGTGTCCCTCAGGCCCTAGTGCTGCAGCCTCACCCGGTGCCTCCGCGCCCACCCCGCGGCCCGGCCCCGCCCCCCAGCCTTGCGGACCCGAGAACTTCTGGGGGCGGGGTGGAAAAATGGGGGCAAATTCTCTAATGTACTTGTCTGGAAAATGGAAGGAGCGCCTTAAGAAGGGAAAGTGGTTCTTTGGGGCGAGCAGTGCAGGGTACCAGCTTTTTACTTGACCAAATAAGGACATTTCTTAGAAAGAACAGTTACTGCTGTCACCATCATCAAAAACAGGCCATTCTGCCACCAAACACAGCCGGTCGCCGTCTCCGGGAAAGGGACATAGGCTTGGGAGCCTCACGGCTTCCCTTCCCCACGAGCCGCGGACAGCTCGTGACAGTCCAGGGACCGCCCTCGTCCAGGCCGTGTGGACAGGCACTCAGAACGAGGGCGCCGAGGCCGGGGTCCCCGCCCCTAGGTGGACCCCCATGCGGCAGATGGAGGCCGGAGAGGCCGGAGGCCCCTGAGACTGCGAGGCTGCGGGCGCCAGGGGTCCCCGTCCTTCCTCCCCCATGCCCTTCGGCAGCGGCTGAACGGGCCCCAAACGGGAGGGGGCTGGCTGAGCCCCACAGCCCTGCTGGAGCCGGGGTGGGGGCGGCCGGCCCTCGACGACCACTCGGAGGCCGTGGCAGGCAGCCCCCCCACCTCCAATGCCCTGTGACACCCGCCAAGATGTTGACACGGACGGCTCCAGCCGCCTTATTTATTATCTGATAACGGGCTCTCGGCACCGCCGGTGGACGGCGTCTGGCCGCGCTGGGGCCTGGGCGGGGAGGCGGCGGGCGGGAGGACAGGAGGCCGGAGCAGGCCTCCGCTCTGGCCTCAGGCGGGACGCCCTGCGCAGTCTGGACCTTTCCCTCGCTGGCGAACGGCTCTCCTCCTCCGCCACCGAGCCGGCCGGCCAAGGAGGAGCTCGGCTCGCACAGGGACCCGGGCTCCCTGCGCGGGGGCCACAGCCCGCTCGACCTGCACCCCTCTGCCGCCAGACGCTGCTCCCTTGGCCTCTGCAGAGCCCCAGCTGGGGCCCTCCTCGCCCCCCGCCCCCCAACCCGCTGCCCGTCCTCCCCCCCCTTGTGGCCCAGAGCTCAGATTTTCCATGATGCAAATCTGGGCCTGTTTCCTCTTTGTCTCCAAGTACCCCGGCCCAGGTAACACCCCAGCAACCGCACGGCTGGCCCGGACCCTGACCGCCCTGTGACCTGAGGGCTCCCCTTCCCCACACCTGCATCCGCTCTCAGGTGTGGGGGGCACTTGCCAGCATCCAGGCTCACCTCCGGGCCTTTGCACATGCTCTTTCCTCTGTGCACCTAACGGGGGCCAAGACCCTCTGATGCTGCCTCCTCCACCACGTCTCTCTCGGGCAGTGCTGGGAGGCCTCTCCAAGCACAGCCGTCCCCACTGCCTGGGGCAGCCCTTGCAGGAGGGAGACCCCCTACCTGCCCGAGAAGAGGGGTGGGTTACGTGATGGAGGGATTGTGTAGACAAAGGGCTAAGGTGGGGTCCCCGGAAAGGCGGATGTGAGATAAGGGGTCCCGGCTGAGGCGAGAACCCCAGAAGCACTCTCTCAGAAGGCGACCTGTGTGGGGTGATCCATGCAGGCCACGCTCCCAGTACTGGGAGGGGTGGAGAGGAGCACCCAGCCAGCCCCAGCCCGACCCTGCAGGCGCGCCAGCGAGGGCGGCCCTGCGTGTAGACGGCAGCTCCTGCCCTCCACCGGCACAGCCCCGTGCGCATGGGGAAAGGGCCCCAGGAACCCCAGTTAGGAACCCCAGATGGAGCACTCACTGCTGCCCACCCTGAACAGCCAGGGCCAGTCCAGACAGCGGGGCCGAGGGCCTGGCCAGGGTGGTGGGGGGGGGGGGGGTTACCACGCCCGGGCCACCAGGGACCTTCAGAGCCAGGCAGGCTCTGGCTGAGCACAGGGTGGGGCAGGCCTCCCCCAGGAAGGCATGGGGGCTGGTGGTCCGAGTCCAGGGATTCTGGTTCCGGGGGGGGATGGTACAAGGGTGTCACATCTGACCTCCGAATTCATCTTTTCTAAGTCGTGTCTCCTGCATATGAGATGTGCCAAGTTGTGCAACGTAAACATTTCAGAGATTACACAATTTTCAAGCCCCGTTCTGGCAATTTTTTGTTTTTTAGTATGCAGAAGACCGCAGAGCATGGCGGGCAGCGCCCTTGATCTTGACCTCTGAGAGGTTCTGGTGGCCAGGAGTGAGGCAGGTCAAGTCGGACCCAGAGCGGGCCGTGTCCTCGGACAGTGAGGAGGAAGCCACTGTCTGTGCAGAGTGGAGGGGCTGGGAGGGGGCGCGCCAGGCACGGGGAGACACACAGGGAGGGGACAATGTCCCGCTCTGCCCCTGACCCCACGTCCCCTGTGGTCTGATAGCCACAGCGCCCCTTTCCCAGAGGCCTGTCCTGAGGCTGTGTCCCCTCAGGGTGACATCGTGGGGGGGGCAGGGAGGACTCAGGAGGGCCCGGCCCCACCGGCCCACACTCAGGGCCCCCGACGAAGGCAAGGCAGGCAGGTGGCAGGAAAGGACTGTGGGTCACAGCTTCCAGAGGTGGAGCCTGCCAGGCCGCAGGGACAAGCAAGTGACCAGTTTTCCTGAAGAATCTGAAAAAAATACCAAAAGCCCTTCAAGCCCAGTTGGTCAGGATGGCTGATCCTGGGCCGGGACCCAGACATGTCCCTTCTACAGGAATCTCTTTCCAGCAAATCCAAGCTGGAGGTGGGGGGAGGGGATGCACAGAGGGTCAGGAGGGACCACACCCTGGGGCCAGCCAGCAGGGAGCCCCGACCCCCACCCGGCAGGGAGAAGCCCTGGGTCATCCAAGGGCACCGACCAGCTTGAGGCTAACAAAGCACATCGTTGGACTTGAGCCGCCCAGGAGGACCTGGCGCTTGGGATGCAGTGC